TTTCTCTCATATGTAAAAGCTAGAGAGGAAAAAGGAAAATAAAGATGGGATGGATCTCATGAAAATCAAAGGGAGATCTGGTGAGAAAGGGATCAATGGGTGGGAGGTGGGGAAAAATGGGGAATTTCTGGAAAATTATATTGGCCAAATTATATTGTTATATTGTGTGAATGTATGAATTTGTAACATAAAATCCCATCATTAGGTATAACTATAATGCACCAATAAATGTGTTGAAAAAAAAGAGAAACAGAAAATACTAGAAATAATTTCTATGTAAACTAAGAGGAGAAAATCATGTATTATTAGGAATTTGGTGTCAATGGCTATTTTTAAATTGATCCAAACATTTATCAAAATTAAACTAGACCCTTATCTCTCACCCTTTTGAAAGAGATGTGTATTATGGCATTCAAGTTCTACTAGGCTTACTTGTATAAACATGTCTCCCTGTGTGTGCTTGTGTTTGTGTGTCAGGAAGAAATGACCTAGAGCCATTAAACAGTAATTTGAGAGGTGATGTTAGAAATTATTACATGTAGACTCTTAATTTTGTAACTCTATTCATTACTAATGTCAATTTTTTGTTAGACAATATAGCTAGTACTTTACTTGGCTTCAATTGTTACATTTCTAGGAAATCACTTGGGTTTATTCTAGGCAGGTTATCTGGATAATTTTTTAATTTGAAATTATTAGTACTTATTTCTCTCCTAGTGAGCACTGAAGAAAAGTTACTGGGATTTTTTTTACATGTTTATAGTTCTTAACTCTATAATACTTATTTTTTCACTTTATAATTTGTGAGAGTTTCTCAGTGCTTTCCTCTATAACATCCCATAAAAGCTGGAGATTAACAATCACTGGCATTCAGAATATAAGTAGTGTGGTTGGATTTTCTTTTACATAATCTTAACAATCCTCTACTTGTCCATTTCAGAACCATACTGATCCACAATCAGCATTTTCACTGCATTGGAATGATACATGTATATGGGTGATCATTTGTTTGGGTTGTTTATATGTATCATCTTTTGCCCTGAAATTTGTAAATAATATTGAAATTCCACAACAATGAACTGTGTATAAGTGGCTGTAAATAACCCTTATCACCACCTCATATGACCAATGGGAACTGTTGCACACTGGTGTGTGTTCCTCTGGACCTTTTATAGAACTGGCAAAAAAATACAGTACCCCTTCATGTTCAAAACACTAGAAACACTAGGGATAATAGGAACATATCTCAACATGGTAAAAGCTATCTGTGCTATGCCCAAGACCAACATCATTCTAAATGGAGACAAATTGAAAGCATTCTCTCTAAAAATTGGAACAAGACAGGGATGCTCTCTTTCACCACTTCTATTTAATATAGTTCTTGAAACACTGGCCAGAGCAATTAGACAGATAAAAGAAAATAAAGGGATACAGATAGGAAAAGAGAACTCAAATTAGCACTATTTACTGGCTATATGATTCTATACTTAGAAGACCCAAAAAATTCCACCAGAAAACATCTAAAACTAGTAAATGAAATCAGCAACATAGCAGGATATAAAATCAACACCCTTTAAATCAAATGCATTTCTGAAATTCAGTGACAAATCCTCTGAAAGGGAAACAAGGAAAACTACCCCATCTACAAAAGCCTCAAAAATAAATAAATAAATAAATAAATAAATAAAATACTTGGGAATAAATTTAACATAAGACATGAAAGTCCTCTACAATGAAAACTACAGAATTCTAAAAAAACAAATTAAAGAAGACCTTAGAAGAGCAAAAGATCTCCCTTGTTCTTGGATAGGCTGAATTAATTTTGTCAAAATGACCATACTACCAAAGAATCATACTGATTTAATGCAATCCCAATCAATATCCCAATGACATTTCTCATAGAAATAGAAAAAGCAGTCATGAAATTCATCTGGAAAAATAAGAGAGCCTGAATATCTAAAGCAATCCTTAGCGTGAAGTTGGTAGCATCACTATACCAGATCTTACCCTATACTACAGAGCAATAGTCACAAAAACAGATGGTATTGGCACAAAAGTAGACTTGTAGACCAGTGATATAGAATAGAGAACACAGAGACAAACTCACATAATTAAAGTTATTTTATATTAGACAAAGGTGCCAAAAACATACACTGGAGAAACAGTGCTGGGAAAACTGGAAATCTATATGCAACAAAATGAAATTAAACCCCTATCTCTCACCATGTACAAAACTCAACTCAAAGTGGATTAAGGACACAGGAATTAAACCACAGACACTGTACCTAATAGAAGAAAAAGTAGGCTCCAAACTCCATCATGTCGGATTAGGCCCAACTTCTTTAATAAGACACCTATAGCACGAGATTTAAAATCAAGGATCAATAAACGGGATGGATTCAAACTAAAACGCTTCTTCTCAGCAAAAGAAACAATTAATTAGGTAAAAAGAGAACCTACATTTGGGGAGCAAGTTTTTACCATATGCATATCAGACAGAACACTAATCTCTGGGATATATAAAGAACTGAAAAAGTTAAACACCAAAAAAACAAATAACCCAATCAATAACTGGGCCAAGGAATGAACACACACTTCTCAGAAGATTATATACAATCAATCAACAAATATATGAAAAAATGTTCAACATCTTTGGCAATTAGGGAAATGCAAGTCAAAACTACTTCAAGATTTAATCTCACTCCAGTCAGAATGGCAGCTATTAAAAATACAAACAACAATGAGTGTTGGTGAGAATGTGGGGGAAAAGGCACACTCATACATTGCTGGTGGGACTACAAAATGGTGCAGCATTGGAAAGCAGTATGGAGATTCCTTGGACAACTCAGAGTGGAACCATCATTTGACCCAGCTATCACACTCTTCAGTTTATACCCAAAGGACTTAAAAACAGCATACTACAGGCACACAGCCACATCAATGTTTATAGCAGAATAATTCACAATGGCTAAACTGTGAAACCAACCTATATGCCCTTCAGTATATGAATGGATAAAGAAAATGTGGCATATATACACAATGAAATATTACTCAGCATTAAAAGATAATAAAATCATGGAATTTGCCATTAAATGCATGGCATTAGAGAATATAATGCTAAGTGAAGTTAACCAATCCCCAAAAAACAAAAGCTGAGTGTTTTCTCTGATATAAGGGGGCTAACTCATAATGGAGATGGTGGGGGGCTTGGGATGAATAGATCAACTGTAGGTATGGCAAAGGGGTGGTCAGGAAGAGAAGATATAGGAAAGACAGTGGAATGTGATGGACATCATTACCCTAAGTACATATATAAAGACATGAATGGTGTAACTCTACTTTGTGTACAAGCAGAGACATGAAATATTGTGCTCCATATGTGTAATATGAATTGTAATGCATTCTGCTGTCATATATAACAAATTAGAATTTTTTTAAAAAAGAAAACTAGTTTCTGTTATATGTGTAATTATATCCATTATGTCTTTTACATATTAACTAATTGATATTATTGGGAACTACCATACAAGACCTGAACTGGTTACATTTACAAGAGAATACCTACGGTAGTTAGTTTCAGCCATATTGTTTTTTTCTCTCAAGTTGAATATAATCCAAATTCATGTACACAGTAGTGTTTTGGGTATGTTAAAATGAATTACCTGTAAAAACACCCAAATATTATTATTTCTAAACATTAAGCCTACCTTTTTGGTATAGTTAGGATCTTTAAAAGTAGATAAAGTTCAGTTATTTAGAAGGAAAAAAAAATGTTTTATAGATACAAAAAAGAAATAATTACAACAGCTAATATTACTATGGATCCTATGTTTGTACCAAGGATATTGTGTATCAGTATTATATATTTTTTCCATGTAACACAATATGAAATTGAACTAATAACAGATAAGTAAGCATCATCACATGTAAGAACTACCTCATCCATGTTTACATCATTTGTTATCTGCAGTCTTGTAACAACTTTCTGAGTGTTTCCTCTGTATTATCTTTCCCTCTACAATCCAATTTGGTGACTGCATTTTGAGATTTTTTTCAAAAGAGAAAATTTATTCACATCTCTCTCTTTTAAAAAATTTACTTTTCAATTGTAGTTGGATGAAATCTATTTTATGTATTTATTTATCTGTTTATTTATTTATTTTTATGTGGTCCTGAGGATGGAACCCAGGGCCTCACACATGCTAGGCAAGTGCTCTACTGCTGAGCCACAACCTCAGCCCCTTCACATCTCTCTTATGCTTAACTCTTTTCATGGAATCCCCAATGCACTTAATAGATTCTTTAAACTCCTAGTTACCTAACTTTCACTTACCTCTCTAGCATTATCTGCTCTTTGCTGTCCTACTCCTGCTACACTACTCTTGAAGTTCTTGGGAGTTTCCCTTACTATTTATTTTTATTGTATGTGCTTTTCTTTTTGTGTCTTCCTCTCTCCCTCAACCCCTTTTCTTATCCTGTGCATTCTTTAGAACTCACCTTAGTTATCAAGGATTCTAGGATGTTTCTCATGATCTTTGCTGGAGGTTTCCTTAGCATTATATAATTTCCTTATGATAACACACACAAATTTATTCCTTGTTATAGTCCTCGTACTCAGCTTGAATGTAAGGTCTGGATGATGCAGAAACTGTGTCAACTTTATATCTCTCTGTATCTAGCATTTACCTCTGGTAGATGTGAGTCACTTAATAAATATTTTCTTTATATTTAGTTGAATAATTGATTGATTTTTTCTTATGAATTATATAATGAAGGCATAATTTTAATGACTAGTCTCAGAGGATGCCAGATTTCCTATTTTCTTCTGTGACAATAATGAAATGCCAGTGTGTTTGATGGCATAGAAATGCCGAGTATAATTGGCAGAATTCTTTATCTTGCTTTTCATATCTTTGACTCAAAATCTCTGAATTAGGAATGTAGAATCATTTCTACCAAAAATGTCAATCTTTAAACAGAACAAACAGGAGCAGATTTACCTTAGGGAGGGGTTTGGCAGGTTTACAGTGGAGTCCTCCAACAAAGTCAAAATTTGGTAAAAGTGGACGAGGAAATTCTAAATCCCAATAGGTTCGAATGAGCCAAAAATCAGCTTTCCCCATTGTTTCATATATTGTAGTGGGTCTCCCTGGATCAAGAAAAGAAAAGATGATGAGAGACTTGTATCCTGAATGCCTCATATAATTTCCATGAAATGAACTGGATTAATGTTGTCAAGATGCTTAAAGTGCATGTATGTATGTGTTTGTGTGTGTTTGCATCCTAAAATTGATATTTTTTTAAAGAGAGAGACACACACACACACACACACAGAGAGAGAGAGAGAGAGAGAGAGAGAGTTTTTAATATATTTTTTTTTTTTTTTAGTTATTGGTGGACACAACATCTTTGTTTGTATGTGCAGAGGATGGAACCCCCGGGCCGCACGGATGCCAGGCGAGGGTGCTACCACTTGAGCCACATCCCCAGCCCCTAAAATTGATATGTTTTATAGTGTACTTTTTTGTATACTATAATTGATATGTTTTACATATGTTAATATGTACATAAACTAATTGTGTGGGTACTTTCTAATGTTCCATCAGTATATATACAATCACAAATAATTACTACCATAAGCCAGCATAGAAGTAACATATTTTATTTTATTTTCTCTCTAAAACTGTAGAATAATCTAAATTTTTAAAATCTTTGTGAGCTCCATAACCAATCAGTGTTCCCATAACTGTAAAGACATCTTTTCTAGGAGTACTCAGTCTTATTCTCACAATTGAACAAACCATTCCCTTGATTCTTGAATCCACAAGTGAACTGTAATGGTTAGTGAGTATGTCTGAATTCCTAGTGACCACTACTGCAATTGCCTCCTATTAGGAGATTAATAGTATTAACTCGGTAATATATATGTATTTGAAAATAACAGCCATATAGTTTTTACAAATCATTAAAACAGAGATTTGTTCTCATGCTCAGTTTAGTTCATATTGTGTTAAATAGTAAATATTAGTCTTTAAAAATATAGACTAATAAGGTGTGGTTCCACTCCACACAAAGTTTTAGGCCTCAAGGCATGGTTTGTTTGTTTTTTTATCAAAGGAATGTGAAGTATGAGATAGCTCAATATATAGCTCTCTGCATCTGAGATAGAGACACTATTTACTTAACTGTGAAGGAATCTTTAAGGTAATTCAGATAAATACTTTAATTTCTAACTGAGGAAATAAAGCTACACAAAAATAATTTTCTCCATGGTACATACATATTGTTATGCTAGTAATACATATGTATGTTATTAATGTACATGTATATCATCATTAAAACATTTAGGGAAATTAATGACTGTCCTTAAAGATGAAAAAAATAGTAAAGTGCAGACAAATCTTCCATGATTCAATTTGCAAGTTATTGCTTCCTAGAGCATTCCGTACAAGTGATTGCCACTGGTTTCTAATTGACCCTATAATGTAAAAGCCCTTTTTTTATTGGTGAGACCATTTGTTCACCTTATATTTTCATTCCATACTTTTTTAAATTATTATTTTTATTTGTTTTAATTTGTTATACATGACAGTAGAATTCACTTATACTTGATATATCATACATAGCTGGGATATAATTTCTCATTTTTCTGAGTATACATATTGCAGAATCACATTGGTCACACAGTCACATATATACATAAAGTAATAATGTCTGTTTCATTCTACTGTCTTTCTTATCCCCACATCCCCTGCCTTCCCCTTCTTTCTCTTCCCTCTACCTAATCTAAGGTAATGCTATTCTTTTTTTTTTTTTGCCTTTATACATGTACACTTTTTTTTGCATTACAATTCTTAATACACATATATACCACAAATTTTATATCTCTGTTTATATATAAAGTATGTTGGCACCCAATTCAAGTCTTCATACATGTACTTTGTATAATCTTTTTTTTTTCTTTTTTTTTTTGGTTGTTCAAAACATTATAAAGCTCTTGACATATCATATTTCATACATTAGATTCAAGTTGGTTATGAACTCCCAATTTTACCCCAAATACAGATTGCAGAATCACATCGGTTACACATCCACATTTTTACATAATGCCTTATTAGTAACTGTTGTATTCTGCTACCTTTCCTATCCTCTACCATCCCCCCTCCCTCCCCTCCCATCTTCTCTCTCTACCCCATCCACTGTAATTCATATCTCTCCTTGTTTATTTTCCCATTCCCCTCACAACCTCTTATATGTAATTTTGTATAACAATGAGGGTCTCCCTCCATTACCATGCAATTTCCCTTTTCTCTCCCTTTCCATCCCACCTCATGTATCTGTTTAATGTTAATCATTTCTTCCTGCTCTTCCTCCCTGCTCTGTTCTTAGTTGCTCTCATTATATCAAAGAAGACATTTGGTATTTGGTATTTGTTTTTTAGGGATTGGCTAGCTTCACTAAGCATAATCTGCTCTAGTGCCATCCATTTCCCTGCAAATTCTATGATTTTGTCATTTTTTAGTGCTGCGTAATACTCCATGGTGTATAAATGCCACATTTTTTTTATCCATTCATCTATTGAAGGGCATCTGGGTTGGTTCCACAGTCTAGCAATTGTGAATTGTGCTGCTATCAACATCGATGTAGCAGTATCCCTGTAGTATGCTCTTTTAAGTTCTTCAGGGAAAAGTCCAAGAAGGGCAATAGCTGGGTCAAATGGTGGTTCCATTCCCAGCTTTCCCAGGAATCTCCATACTGCTTTCCAGATTGGCCGCACCAGTTTGCAGTCCCACCAGCAATGTACAAGAGTACCCTTTTCCCCACATCCTCGCCAGCACTTGTTGTTGTTTGACTTCCTAATGGCTGCCAATCTTACTGGAGTGAGATGGTATCTTAGGGTGGTTTTGATTTGCATTTCTCTGACTGCTAGATATGTTGAGCATTTTTTCATGTACTTGTTGATTGATTGTATGTCCTCCTCTGAGAAGTGTCTGTTCAGGTCTTTGGCCCATTTGTTGATTGGGTTATTTGTTTTCTTATTGTTTAATTTTTTGAGTTCTTTGTATACTCTGGATATTAGGGCTCTATCTGAAGTGTGAGGAGTAAAAATTTGTTCCCATGATGTAGGCTCCCTATTTACCTCTTTTATTGTTTCTCTTGCTGAGAGAAAACTTTTCAGTTTAAGTAAGTCCCATTTGTTGATTTTTGTTATCAACTTTTGTGCTATGGTTGTCCTATTAAGGAATTATCTAATGTAATCACATTACACTACCCTTGCTAATCCCCTGCCCCCTCCTTTTCCCTCCCACCCCTCTGCCCTATCTAGAATTCATCTATTTCTCCCATGCTCTCCCGCCCTACCCCACTAATGAGTAAACCTTCTTATATCAGAGAAAACATTAGGCATTTGTTTTGGGGGGATAGGCTGACTTCACTTAGCATTATCTTCTCCAATGCCATCCATTTACCTGCAAATGCAATGGCTTTGTTCTTTTGTAATGCTGAGTAAAATTCCATTGTGTATATACTCCACATTTTGTTCTATAGTTTTACTTACAGAAAAGAAAATTTTTCTGATTTTATACTTACGAAAGGTCAGCTTCAAAGTCATAGAAAATTTAGGATTTCAAATAATAATTAAAGAATCAACTTACCTAGAACTTCACTGTAAAACTGATTCCATCTCTTCACATCAAATATTTGGAACCAAAAATCAAAATAAAGCATATACACTGTATTTTTAACCCTCTCCATGAATGTCATTTGATCACTTAATTCTGACATAACAATAGGCACATAAGAAGGAGGAACTGTAAGTCCACCACTGTATTTTTCATATGTGTAGCCAAAAGTGAAGCGGAGAGTGTATACAAATGGTATTTTAAGTAGCTCTGCCAGCAGCTCACCACAGGGACCAACTGCATCTGCAAGAACCACATCAAATTTTGATTCATGTAGTTTCATCATAAGTTTCTTGTTTAAAACTACATTTCTGCAGAGTTGTTCAATTGTATCAGAATAGTCCTTGAAAAATTTTTGTACTAATGAATAAAATTCCCAGAAGTCAACTTTTGGAGTATCATAAATCCATTCATGGATCCATTTGGAGAAACGTTCTTCCAAATGTTGTTTACTTGAAGGTGCAGGGTAAACCTCAAAATTAATAGCAGATGTTGTGTTGGGATTAATAAGAATGGAAGCTGTTGATGTCAGAACAGTCACCTCATGACCTCTCTGGAGAAGTTCATCCAGGATTGCCTTTATGTTGATCCAATGGCTGTATTCTGTGGGCCACACCAGCACTTTTCCACAGCTTCCAGAGCTAAAGTAACACATCAGTTGTATCAGCAGAAGAACCGAGTTCCTTTTCACAGACATATTAGTACAATGCAATGCTTCTGTTACATTAGCAGCTCTTCTTTTCTTCAATTTCTCAGGCTTATATCTCTCAGGATAAATCAATCCAAAGTTAAAGTATAACTTCTGCACTTCAAAGTACAATTGTACAGGCTGATCATGTGGATGATAGAAGAACAAATACAAGGTAGAGTACCTTAAGGTTATAAAAACTTGTTTAATATCTCCTTTATTTTTGTAAGTGCTATTTTCCAGATAAGACTTATTGATCTCTCATATGTACATTACCTGTCTTACATATTGTATTTTAGAATGATATCAAGGACAGTGGCAACTGAAAGGATCTCCTATGTGTATCAAATAATAATACATCTGACACAGCATTTATTTGATAATCTGATTCAAGGGTAATTTTGAAATTTTCTTGATATATACAGATACTATACGATTCACCAATTTAAAGTTTATAATTCAATGTTTCCTAATATATTCACAGAATTTTGCAATCATATTTTATATGGACTTAAACTCAATTTTTCTTCTCAGTTTATTCCATTTTATATTCTTATAACAAAATACCTAAATCAAGGTACATTATAAGTAAAAGACTCATTTTGATTATGGTTCTACTGCCTGGATTGGCATCTGATTATGGCACTGGTTAGCACACTCTGGCTATGTCATAGCATGACAGAAAAATAGTATGGCACTTGGGTATGTGCACAAGAGGCCAAACATTTGGGGTGACCCCATTTTATACCAACTGTCTCTTGCAGTAACTTATCCAGTCTTGCCAGATCTAACCTACTCCCATAGACATGTTAATCCTTATTAATTAAAGTCTTAATCATTGCTATGATATGAAAATAAGGTATCCCCTCCCTGAACTTCTGTTAATGCAGGTCTATTCAGGTGTAAAAACATTAGATTATGAGAACTATAACCAAATCAGTCCAAATTAGAGTGCACTGAGTGGGTGTAACTGTAGGCAGGTGAAGCTTGGCTGGTGGAGGTGGGTTGTTGGGGGTATGCCCTAAAAGGGTGCATTTGCCCTGGACTGTGTGTGTCTCTCTCTCCTTCCAGACTCTGACATGAGCTGAACATCTTTCCTTTGCTAGGGCCTTCCCCCATGATGTACTAGTTTATCTTGGGCCCAGGGCAATGGAGTTGGCCATCAATGGACACAGACCTCTGAAACCATAAGCCCCAAATAATTTTTTTCTCCTTTAAGTTGTTCTTAGATATTTTGGTCACAGTGATGAAAAAGTTGACTAAAATAATCACCTTTGAAGGTTACCATACCTCTCAATACTGTTACCTTAGTAACCAAACCTCAACACAGAGGTGGGTAATGACAAGCTCTATTCAAAACCACACAAATCCCCTACTAAAATATTTATTCAGTGATGCAGACACTGGTTGTGATGGTCTTGAATGAAGTCTACCTCACTGTTATTAAGAGGTATTGTTAATATTTTGCTTTAACAATAGTGAGAAAACATTCTCAGGTTTATCACTTATGATGTTATTATTTTTAATATGTTCTTAGAAACAGACAATCAATAGGAACTTAACTTACATTTAGATATTTATAATTATTATTTTACTAAAAAAGGTGTTCCATGCAAGTTATCTGAAGAATCATTTTAATTTAGTTATTTTGTCTTTCAATTTAAGGGTAGTAAAAGATAGTTAGTTATAGATGAAATTACTTTATATCACTTTCAGTCAGCTCTGTGTTCCTGGGTAGCTTATCTTAAAATTTGTTGGAATTTTCCAATCACTCCCCCTTAAATCACTTCTATAATAAGGCTAAGAAATGCTGATTTTTAGGGTCATGGTGCTATGGTTTAGAATTTCAATGAAACTGTTCCAAGAGTCCTATTTATAATCTAGGAGAATATATGTATAGTTACATGTTTAAATGATCATATTTCTTAGGTCATTGTTTCTATATGGCAGCTTTTGCCCTGCTATCAAATTAATATTCTGGTAGAATGTGCTATGTATATCTGGTATGAGGGGCCCTCCTCATCACCTTTCTGTATCTTACAAGGAAAACTTATACCACAAAGAGGTTCAGCAGGCATTTTTACAAAGGAGATCTGGTCAAACTTTTGATCAAATCACTTCAACTTTTAGAAAGCTCCTGGTAAAGACATATTTGGTTGGAATTATTTTGAGAATTATTCTTTTGTTGTTGCTGCTCTGTTCTTCTTTATTACAACCCTGTCCTGTGTTCCCGAATGATGGCTCTTTAACATGACACCCAAAACATTCCTACAGTGAATCCTGTTAGCATTCAAAAGTCTCCCAATTTCTTTCTCAGCACATTAAATCCAAAAGGGGGGAAAAGTCTTTAAAAAAGTCAATAGGTTTAGCACTGCCGCAGTCTGGCTGGGCACAAATCACGAGCCACTGAAGCAGGAACAAACTTTATTTTTAAACTGCAGGAAAACACTTCACACAGCTCCCGGGGAATCCTCCCGAACGCGCCATGAGGCTTGTCCAGGAACCCCCAGCCGGAAATATCTCTCCCGGAAATCCCTCCTCCTGCACTTCCCCAACCAATGGGAACTCTTGGGGAATCCCCGGAAATCCCCACGAGAACTCCAAAATAGTGCGAGAACTCAAAAGTTGCGACAGAGGCGGATAGTAATGCCTCGCCTGTCAATCAATACTGTTGGCAAAATGCCAGGGGCCATACAGACTCAGCCGTGGCTCTCAGCATCTCCCCCTTTTCGTTTAATTAAACAACAAGCAATGTGGCTTAGGGACCGTGCCTGTTAGGCAGTCCAATTCAACATATGGTCCTTACCCGTCATCGGATGAACTGACCTCTAGGCGTCAGCCTCCTGTCTTAGGTTGGTACCACTGCAATTGGATCATACCCGTCACTGACTACCGGTCCAGCATACAGCCATACTTGTGGATAGGCCTTTGCACCAGTGGGGGGGTGAGGTTCTTCGCCTCACCTCTGTTGGCCCCCAAATTTTAGACCATCACTAGTAGAAGGGAGGAGGATGCAAAATGCCATGACACTAAGCCAATTGAGGGCTCCTTTGAAAAATTGTACCACCGGTGACACCATCAGCAAAAATACTCCAGCACTACCACAATTCGCTGTACCAACAGATAGTTCACAATGCATACAAGTGATACATAGTCCAGGCAAGGTCTGCAAGCAATTCAAAGCAGAGGAATCTGTCAATATGTCCATTTCCTCCCAAAGTAAATCGACTCCTTAATTGAGCATTACTTGTGGAGTTATTATTCATTGATGCATCAGTTTTTACAGTTTGTTGTGATAACTATCGAAGAAGCTGTAGTTTGGTTTTATCTTTGTCTTCACCGGCACTGGGATGAAGATAGGAATTCTGGCAATGATGCTAAGAAAAAAATTATGTAACATTCCAACAGGCACTAAGAAAACAATTTTTTGAACAATTTACATTATCCTGAACAGAATTATTAAATATAATGAGAAGGAAAGGTGAAAGTAAACAAACAGATCTGTTAACCTCCTATTTGTTCACATATTAAAACAATTTTCAACAGCTGTTTACCCAATCTAAATTAAACCATTAAAATCAGGTGAATAAAAAAATTCGGATCCATTTATTCATGAGCGCTCCTCATATATGATATATGGACATACGCACATACAGACATACAACACAAAACAGAAGTGTGCACACATAACATACAACACTTAAGACAATAGTAAAGGCCTTGAAGCTTTACCTAGGTGAAATCTCCATTGCAATGCTTAAAAACTCCACAGTCAACAAATAAAACTGATCAGAAAAACATTAACCTAGGTCTGTATGAGCTCAAAAATAAAATAAAACTTTATGATGTGGGAAAAGGCAAATAATAAAATAAATATTGAAAAAAGCATCCTGGTTAATCACTGTCGTAGATGTAAGAATAGCCAAACTGGAGTTCTGGATATCAGCTGTTATGGATTTGAGTCAAATCATCTTCCTTTTGGCCTGTAGAAATTGTTTTAGTTAATCTCTCTGGAATCCAAATCGGCTGCTGTTCTCCCTGTGGAAAAACACAAACAGAACCCCAACTCCAGACAATCACTGGGTCAGAACCTTTCCATTGTCCTGTTAGAATATCCTTCCAAAGTACCTTAGGCTTATGTACATTTTTTGGACACATATGCCTTTCTGCAGCACTAAGCCCTGAGGAATCCAAATTTAAAAAGTTTAGAGTAAAAAGGGTTATTTTAAGTTTATCTTTGGGTGACATATACCCCTTTCCAATTCCCTCTTTTTGCTTTAGTAAGTACATTTTAATAGTTTGATGAGCTCTTTCAACTATGCCTTGTCCTTGTGGATTGTATGGAATTCCTGTTATATGAGTAATGCCAAATGATGAGCAAAATTGTTAAAAAGAGGTAGAAGTATAACCAGGACCATTATCTGTTTTTAACTGTTTTGGAACTCCCACAGTGGCAAAATTTTGTAAGCAATGAGCTATAAAATCTTTAGTTTTTTCTCCGGAATGAAGGGAGCCCATCAAAAATCCGGAAGAAGTATCAACTGTAACATGCAAATATTTTAATTTTCCAAATTGTGGCAAGTGTGTGACGTCCATCTGCCAAATATGGTTAGGTATCAGTCCTCTAGGATTGACTCCAAGATTAACTCGTGGTAAAAAGGTCACACAATTTTGACATTGTTTTATTATTTGTCTAGCTTGTTCCTTAGTTATTTTAAAGCGCTTTTGTAAAGTATTAGCATTGACATGGAACCTATTATGAAAATGTGTAGCTTCTTCTAGTGTAGAGAAAATATGTATGTCATGTGTAGTTTTATCTGCTAAATCGTTGCCCAAACTAAGGGATCCAGGCAATCCTGTATGTGCTCTGATATGTCCTATAAAGAATGGATCTTTTCTGTCCCAGATTAGACTTTGTATAGCAGAAAACAAAGAGAAAACAGTAGAGGAAGGGGAAATCCTGCCAGCATCTTCAAGGGATACTATAGCATTAACTACATACTGACTATCAGAGAATAAATTAAATACAGAATCTTTAAACATCACAAAAGCTTGTAAAACTGCATTAAGCTCTACCTTTTGAGCTGATTGTTTGGGTACTAAAAATGTAAAAGTTTGATCAGGGGTAACTACTGCTGCTGTACCATTATTTGACCCATCAGTGAATACATTTGGAGCATTCATGATAGGGGTTTTTCTTGTCATTTTTGGAAAAACTACAGGATGCGAAGACCAAAAAGACAACAAAGGATTAGATGGTAAGTGATTATCAAATAAAACATTAAATTTACACATGATTATTGCCCAAGTATTTAACTCATTAGCTAACTCATCAATTTGATCCATAGTATATGGAGTAATAATTTTATTGGGAGAAATTCCAAACACTCCCTTTGCTGCTTTTATTCCTTTGAGTATTAATTGTCCTACAGCCTCAGGATACCTAGTAAGAATAGTGTTAGGAGAATAAGATAAATGTATCCACAATAATGGACCTTCTTGCCAAAATACTCCTGTAGGAATATTTTTTGTTGGTAGTACAATAAATAATAAAGGCAAACTTATATCAATTCTATCCAAATGCATATTTTCCATATATGTTTCAATAATTTTTAATGCATTTCTTGCTTCAGGCGTTAACATTTGGGGTGAATTTGGATCTGATGGACCTTTTAGGATATCAAATAAAGGTCCCAACTCTCCTGTTGGTATGCCTAGATAAGGCCTTATCCAATTTATGCCTCCCAATAACTTTTGAAAGTCGTTAAGTGATTTGAGTTGATCTACTCGTATTTGAATTTTTGGTGGACGGACCATGGTTGAGGATAATAGAACTCCTAAATAATTAATTGGAAAATTTAATTGTACTTTATCTATTGCTATCTCTAGGTTATAATTTTTTAATAAATTTGTAAGTGTGGCATAACATTCCAGCAATGTGTTTTTATTTTTGTGTGCTAACAATACATCATCCATATAGTGAAATATTTGTAATTTAGGATTTTGATTTCTAAGTGGCTGGATTGCTTTGTTAACATAAATTTGACACATAGTTGGGCTGCTAGCCATCCCTTGAGGGAGTGCTTTCCATTCATATCTCTGATCAGGACCTTCATGATTCAGTGCAGGGATAGTAAATGCAAAATGTGGACTATCCTCAGGATGAATTGGAATTGAAAAAAAAAACAATCTTTAATATCTATAGCTAAAACATACCAGGTTTTTGGCAAAGCAGACAATTGAGGAATCCCCGATTGAGCAGGTCCCATAATAACCATCTCATTATTAATGGCTCTTAAATCTTGCAATAATCTCCATTTACCAGATTTCTTTTTAATGACAAAAATGGGAGTATTGTAAGGAGATACGGAAGGTTGTATATGTCCCTCCGCTAATTGTTGTTTGACCAGGTAATGGGCTGCTTGTATCTTTTCTTTAGTCAGGGGCCACTGAGGAACCCATACTGGTCTATCTGATTTCCAAGTAATTTTTATTGCCTCAGTGACCCCTTCTGAAAACCCAGTCCATGTCTATTTATTCCCTGATCTATTTGAATGGGTGCTGCTATGCCTTGTTCTCCTAATCTTTTTTCTTTCCTGAAACCTTGTCTAGCCCTAATAGTGGGCGCATTTGGATTGATGTTATTTGTTAATGTCAAACCTAATTGATCTAGGACATCTCGTCCCCATAAATTTATAGGAAGATGATCCAATACATATGGCTGTATAGTTCCTTCGCATCCTTCAGGATCCTTCCAATCTAATACCATTGCACTTCTGTGGGGATTAGTTGCCACTCCTAGGCCTCGAAGCGTTTGAGTGGCTTGTTGTAACGGCCAATGTTTTGGCCATTCTTGACGAGATATGATGCTAAGGTCTGCACCTGTATCCAGTAGCCCATTAAATTCGTGTCCTTGAATATTTAGTTTTAGCATGGGGCGAGAATCTAAATTTAAAGACAGCATAGCCCAATCTACACCTGTGGAGCCTAATCCCCTGGAACTTCTTTCTATAGTACTACTGGAAAATTTATCATGTAGGCTGGGTATTATTAATAACTGTGCTATTCTATCTCCTGGTGAAATTACTGATATACCCTTTGGAGAACTAGCTATAATTTTTATTTCACCTTCATAATCGGGATCAATTACCCCGGGACTTATCATAAGTCCTTTTAGCGTAGAAGAACTGCGTCCTAACAATAAGCCTACTGTTCCTTGGGGAAGAGGTCCTTTTACTCCTGTGGGAATGATTTGAACTCCCATCTCTGGAGTTAGTACTGCTCTGGTGGAGGCGCAGATGTCCAACCCTGCGCTCCCTCTGGTTCGTCTGATGAGAGATCTGATGGATAATGTGTCCTGGGCACTACCCTGATGGTGTTTCTGGGTTCCTCCATGGTGTTTCTGGGTTCCTCCAGTGCCCCGTACATTTGTGGTCGTGGGCCCCGGAGCATTGGGCCCCCCTGTCCGTTTTTTGGCAATGGAGCTCGATGCCTTTCTCCACGATATCATGGGTAAACACTTGGTCCTTGTCTGTTTTTTGATAACGGAATACCCTCTATGGTGGTTTGAGAATGGCATTCATTAGCCCAATGTTTCCCTCTACGGCATCGTGGGCAAATACCCGGTATTCTATTCGTTTGATATCTAGCTTTGTTAAACCCTCTTCCTATGGGGCAACTCCTTTTAAAATGT